AACTCTGGGCCTGAAAGGCCCAGAAATAGGCTGAAACGGAATAGGGCCTGCAGGCCCTCGTATTTCAGCTTCCAGGCTGAAACGACTGGGGCCTGGGGCCTGTAAGCCCTAACTTTTAGGCTTTTAGGCTGAAAGTCCAGGACGGGCCCTGCAGGGCCCGTGTGGCTACGCAGAATGCCACACCCCCCCCTCCTTGAAAGACCGAGCTTACCTGCAAGGGTGAAGCTGTCTGTCTGAGGGAGGGACCACAGTCCGGGTGGGAGGGGCAGGTCGTGGAGGTCCCTTAGCTAACCTTTGTCGCTCGTAGTGAGCGTAGATCAGCGGTGCGGATGCTTTCAAATCTGCTCCTGAAATCCTCCGAGTGTCGTCGAGATCGCATGCTCTGAATGTAACTTTGTACTGGCGCGGCTTGCTACCGTACTTGCGATCCGTGATGACTCGGTCAACTTCCTGATGACCATCCATAGAAGGAGGGTCCTGCGATCGTCGGCCCGGGAAGTCGTCGCTCTTAGCTGGTGTATATGTTGCCAGCTTCGAGGCGTGAAAGACTGGATGGACCGTCAGATGCTCKGGAATGTTGATCACAAATGAAGGGCCATCGGGCTCATCGCCCGCCGCTGCTGTCACAGACCAAGGTCCAAACCACTTGGGAAGCAGTTTGCGTGAAACATCCTGTTCCAGTGCAAACTCTTCCGCGGAGACCCAAACCAGGTCACCGGCGCGGATGGGACATGGCACGCGACGCCTGTTGGCTTGCTGCTGCATGCGGACTTGAGCCTTTTGCATGTTCGCGCGGGCTTGAGTCAACAATTCCCTGTACTTCCAGACGGAAGCAGGAGAGTAAGCGGCGTCAATGTCGGCTGGTCAAGGGAGGAGAAGGTCGGCGAAGATACGGCCTTTCCGTCCACCGTGGTGCAACTCGAATGGAGTCACGCCGATCGCCGGGTGCACCGAAGTGTTGTAGGCGAACTCAATGTCGGGGAGGCGGTCAACCCAATCTTTCTGGTCCGGACGGATGAGCGTACGAAGCATCATTTGAGCGGTGTGATGTGCCTGCTCCCTCTGCCCGTCTGTCTGTGGATGCCGAACCGAACTTGGCTTCATCTTCGTGCCGGACTCCTGCATGAGAGCAGTCCAAAATGCCGACATGAAGCGAGTGTCGCGGTCGCTGACTATGTCTTCTGGTACACCGTGGCCACAAATCCAACCAGTGTGCAGGAGGCGTGCCAGCTCGGGAGCCGTGGAGTAGTACTTGCAAGGAAGAAAACGCGCATACTTACTCAATCGGTCCGCCACCGTGAGGATGCCGTCGTGCCCGAACCGGTCGCGGGGAAACGGACCGGTGACGTCTATGGCAATGGAGAGACCAGGTTCCCGTGGGATAGGCATCGGGCGTAACTCGCCGTAGGGATTGCAGTTGCGGGGCTTGCTGCATCGGCAAACTTCGCAAGAGTCGCAATACCGAGTGACATCGGTAATGAGATCGGGCCATCGGATTGTTGTCGAAGCCGTGCAATAGTGCGGTTGACTCCGAAATGGCCGGAGAGTCGTGAATCATGATACTCACCGAGGAGGCGAGTCCGAAGACGACGGTCGCGTGGGACACATAGTAAGTCCTTGCCTCTCGAGTGGAGGAGCAAGTACCCGTCGGCAATGCGATAGTGGCTGGCTGGCGGGTGATCCGAAGATAGYTGTGCATACAGCGTGGCGAAGTYCGRATCAGACTCATATGCCCGGATGAARTGTCGCTGAAGCTCCTCRTCGAATGCGAAGGCATGATGTGTCATAGCGCAAAGATCAGGTCTTCGCGAGAGTGCATCTRCTGCGCGATTTGAGAGGCCGGGAAGATGTTTCGGTGTGAAGTCAAATTGGTCGATGAAGTACATCCATCGTCCGATCGTGCTGCTCACCGTATCCTGCGTCTTTTAGTAGGTCAATGGATTGTTGTCCGTAACCCATGTGAACCTACGACCAAGGAGGAAGTGCCGCCATCGCTTGAGAGCCATGACGAATGCGAGCAGCTCCTTCTTCCTTGCATCATCAAGCGAGTTGATGGGAGGCACTTTGTGGCTGAAATACTCCACAGGGAGCCAGTCGTCGCCGTCGTGCTGTTCCAAGACTGCCCCAATGCCATAGCCGGAAGCGTCTGTAGTCACTCTCGTCGGCAGGGTGGGTCATAGATGCTGAGGACGGGTGCCATGAGCATGGCCGTCTTAAGTGCTTGGAATGACCGGCGTGCGTCGTCATCGAATACGAATGGCACCTTTGGCGACTGTAACCTCGTCATAGGTGCAGCAATCCTGGAATATCCGGTGATGAATCGCTGATAGTAGCCCACCAATCCCATGAATGAACGAACGTCCGTGGTGTTGGTGGGCTCGGGCCATACTCGTAGGGCCTCGATCTTATCCGCAAGCGGACGGATGCCTTGTGGCGTCACATAATGTCCCAAGTATTCCAACTCCTGCCGTGCGAATTCGCACTTGTCGCGGATGGCTTTGTACTTGGCCTGTCGTAGCCGCTCCAAAACGGTGCGCAGGTGTTCCACATACTCCTCCTAACTCCGTCTGTACACCAGGATGTCGTCGAGGTAGATAAGTACGTATCGATCCAGCATGTGTCGGAACTCCGTTGTCATAGCCGCTTGGAAAGTGGACGGGGCATTCGTAAAGCCAAATGGCATAACCAGCCATTCGAAACGCCCATATCGCGTCTTAAACGCGGTCTTGTAGCGATCCTCCTTGCGAATATCGAGTTGGTGATATCCCGACTTGAGATCGAGCTTGGAGAAGAACTTGGCGCCGCCCAATCGTTCGAGAAGGTCGTCGATGCGTGGGAGAGGGCCGGCGTTCCTGATCGTCTGCGCGTTGAGCTTGCGATAATCGATGCACAACTGCAAATCCTTATTCTTCTTCCGGACGAAGAGAACAGGAGCACCGTATGGCAATGAGCTAGGCCGAATCCAGCCTTTCTCCAGAAGGTCGTCGAGTTGTGCCCGAAGCACACTTAACTCTTCCTCGCTCATTCGGTAGATGCAACCGCGTGGAGGTACGGCCCCGTCCTCGAGGATGATCTTGTGGCGGATGGGTCGATCCGGTACTACTCCGTGCGGGCCTTCGAACACGTCGCTGTAGGCGTCGAGAAGTTCGGTGATGCGTGGATCCGAAGATGAGTCCGTCGATGACGCGTCTTGGGGCGGGAGGGCGAGGAGAAAACACACCCCCATCTCCTCGATGTCGTCTCTGATGATGGAAGCTCGCATGCTTGCGGCGGATACCACGTGACAGCTAACTGAAGGGTGAGGAGGAGCTACCGTGCATGGGACTAGTACTCCGTTCCGATCACGAACGTGAACGGTGCGGCGGTAGAAGTTCACCGGGTGGTCCTCGCTTCGCAGCCATGACATGCCCAATATCATGTCGAATTTGGTGTCCAGAATGTCGAAGGACACCGCCTCACTTGCGTGAGGGGCAAAGTATACTGGGACGTCATCAATGCACCGGTCGATTGACTTGTGCGTGTGACCATCCGCCAAAGTGACTTGCGTGGGCTGGGACTTCCTTCGGACTCGTGGGCCAAGGCCGGCGCGTACCATGAAGTCCTGACTCATGTAGTTGCGAGATGCTCCGCAATCGAACAAAGCGCTGCAGGTCGCCTCTCCGATCTGAATGCGTACATATAGCAATGGTGCGTCGATGTCGTCGTACCGTTGCGTCTTCAACTCGCGGTCGATCTTCGCAATGTAGGCGTAAAGGTCGACAACCTCTACTCCGGCGTCCATCAACGGAGTCGGTACTGCAGTGTGCAAGTAATCCCGCAATTGTGCTTTGAGCACGTTGCAATGCGGTTTCGGCAATCGACCGGACTGAGGCAGGGGCATCCATTGGAAGTCCTCAAAAGTCAACGGGTTGAGTTCTTCAAGACTTGACCATGACGTTGAATCCCCGGCGGTAGATGACGACGAAGCTGCCGAATCCGTTGCCGATGGTGATGAAACCGTGCATGCGGTAGAGTATTGCACGTGGAGCGGTTGGTCCAGCGGTGGGACCAACTGGACAGCATAATCCTCGTAAGTGTACCAAGGACTTGCGACATGCGCATCCTCCCCAGATGTGTAGGAGGCCGCTAGCAAGGCGGCCGAATCTGGCGGAGTGAGAGGTGGAGTCGCCTCACCTCCTGCGCAACTCAGTTTCCCGAGTTAAGACGAGACTGCACATCCTCCTTGGCCTGATCCTGGCAAATGGAGGTCTTGTGCTTGGTGCTGTTGCACCAGTAACAGCAGCCGTAACGGTTGCGGTACTTGTACTCGGTCTCGGTCAAGCCGAACTTGACCCATGGTGGTGCTGGCTGTCCGTTTTCGGCCTGCGATGCTGGTTTCGCCTTCCCGTTCACTCGGGGCTTGATGCTTCGTGGCTGGACAGCAGCCACCTGATCTCCCTCACGTGATGCTGAAGTGGCTGCTGGGTCTTCTCCACTGTCCAATTGGACTGCAGCGAACTGCTGCTGTCGCGGACCAGTTCTTACCTTCTCCACATAGGTTGGCTGCCACGTGGACTTCTCGTGTGCTGCTGACCTGTTGGTCTTGATGATCTCTCTTGCCTTGTCAATGATTTCGGCGAAAGATGCATACTGCTCGCGATCACCAAGTGCCTGGCTCAGTGCAGCACATGACCTGTTGTAGAACTCACGGCGTAGATGCGTGAATGGTAAGTCAAGACCGGGCACTGCCGCGATCTTCTGCCATTCCGTGAGCCAGTCTCGTGTTGCTGTGTTGCCCTAAGACATGGTGAAGAGACGGTTGATGGCTAGAGCTGGTGCGTCGTCGACGATGAACCGCTTCTTCCACAGCCGTGTCAACTCTTCCCATGTGATCTTGTCCTTCAGATCCGCGACGTCGACGCCGTGGGTGGCTGCCAGGTGAGTCAACCAGATCTAGCATCCGCCCTTTGAGTTCATGAACAAGGCGCCGATGTACGCGTGTTTGGCGACAGGCAGAATCTGAAGTTGCGTCGTGAATGCTTCCCACCAGAGCACCGGGTCCTGATGCGTGTAGTCGTCGAACCTCTCAAGTTGAAAAGTTGGCATCTTGTATTGCTTTGGATTGCCATCCGTGTTCGTCGACTGCAATTGCTGGACCTCGGTCTTCAATGCATCCAGCTGACTGCTGATGGTGGTCGGCGCAGCGAAGGTGCTGATGTCGCTGAGCATTGCCACTACGTGGTCAACGCGTTCCTCCAGTTGGCGGCTAGGGGGTGCACTGCTGGAAGCCCCAGCATCTGGTCCTGGTACAGCCTGTTCCAGGTCCAGTACACGGGAATTGAGTGCCCGTGTTGCATCCTCGTGGCTCTACACCATCCGACGGAGGTTCGCCAACTCGTAGTGCTGCGTCTTCAGATCCTGGTACTGTTGCTGCAGTTCCTGGTTCTGTCTCTCCAACTCGGACCGTTGGTAGTTGCAAGCGTACAACAACCGTGTCACGAGTTTGGAGAGGAACTCCTTATGCTGCTCTTCCGGTGTTGCGTCGTCGCCGTTCGGTTCAAAGTGCCAGAACTTGAGTCTGTCGATGCTGTTGGCTTCATGCCGCTACAACAGATCTTGGGCTTCCTTGCGGCGAGCCTGGGCATCTGCGCCTGCTTCGGCCTGTAGCTGGAGCTTCTCTGCTGCTGCCGCTTCTTCAGCCTGTAGCTGGGCAGCCTTGGCTGCCAGCTGGCGTTGTTCCTCAGCCTCGATGAAAGCGAGCTGAGCCTGGAAGCGCTTTTTGTAGTCGGCAATGGGCTCATTGGCCAGTTGGCTTGGCAGGCCCGTCATGTTGCTGACGTGGCACTGCTGACATGGCACTGTGTCTGACGTGGCACTGTCTGATGTGGCACTGTGTCTGACGTGGCACTGTGTCTGATGTGGCACTGTGTCTGACGTGGCACTGTTGACGTCGCCTGCTGATGTGTCACTGTAGCTGACGTGTCACTGTGTCTGACGTGGCACTGCTGACGTGTCACTGTAGCTGACGTGTCACTGTTGACATGGCACTGTACCAACCCGGAATGTACCAACCCGGAAATGCATGCAAAGGGTGGGTGGGAGGGAAAACGCAGGTAGGAAACCAACCCAACAATACTTTCCTCCGGCCCTAATCAACAGATAAAA